GCTTGACAGTTTGTGTATATTTAATTTGTTAAATAACTACACATACGTTTGAGAATTGTTGATTAAGATAATTGAAATCATATTCGATATATAGATATATGACTTTGGAATTTGGTTCATGCATATTTAATTAATAAGACTATCGTGTATTATTGTAATACATAAATTGATTCAATAATTAATTTGCATGTGTGACCAATTAAACCGTCAAACCAGTTTTGGTTTATTTGGTTAATATGATTAACTAGGTTTAGTTATATATTTTTTTAGAACTAATACGATCAGCTTCTGAAATTAATTATATATATTAATTAATAATTTTAATTAGATTAAAATTAATTTAATTATTTATAATTCAATTAAGATACATATAAGATATGTATTAATTATATTTAATTTTTTATATTAGATATAAAGTTTTAAATATAAAATAAAATTGGATTAAAATTTGTTCCTCAATTAATTTCAAGTATTTTTTATGTCTATCCAATCTTATCAACCATCAAGGCTCGTTTCGTTGTAAGATGTGCTTGCCAAAGCAAGGTGTCTGCAATTACATGAGTGAGGTGGATGGTAACGGTTATCATATGAAACAAGATTGGTTTACTTGACTAGGCTATCAAAACGGTTTTGGGCTTAGAGACATAGGTTGGATAAGACATAAGATGTCATCTGACAACCAAGAATTATATTGGATATAATTAGCAAAGTGTTGCTTACCTAAATAGCTAAAATTCGGGCGATGAGTCAAAGCTCACTCGGATTTTAGTGAAATAAGGATCTTGGATTATTATATTCATTTGAGGAAATTGTTTTGAATATAATATGAGTTTCTTAATTGTTGAGATTTCTCAATTCATGAACATCATATTAACACTCCCTATTCTTTTATTCCAGAAATGACAACTCCCCACTTCTCGTTCTCATTGCGATCTGTCCTTGAGAAGGACAAATTGAATGGATCGAATTTCCTTGAATGGTATCGAAACTTGAGAATTGTTCTCAAGCAAGAGAAAAAGGACTATGTCCTAGAAAAGGTTCTTCCTGAGAAACCTAAGACCAATGTCCAACATGCTGAAAGATCTGCTTATGAGAAGCATGTCAGTGATAGGGTCGATGTGTGTTGTCTTATGTTGGCAACCATGAACTCGGATTTGCAGAAGCAATACGAGAACGTGGACTCACCAATTGACATGATCACTAGCCTGAAAGGTATGTTTCAGGAGCAGGCTCGAACTGAGAGATACCAAACAGTTAAGTCTCTCATTGAGTGCAAGCTACCAATAGATGGTCCAGTTAGCCCGCATGTCATTAAGATGATGGGTTATATTGATAACTTGGCTAAGCTGGATTGTCCTATCAGCCAAGAGTTGGCGACTGATCTCATCCTACAGTCATTGCCGTCAAGCTATGATCAGTTTGTTATGA